TTTCAATACTATACATAATATGGACATATATTTAAAAAATGTGCAGAACCTATGTGCAAATATACACACACTGCTGCAATAATAAATAACCAATTTGCTCAAAGATGCAATTGGTCCAATTCTTCATTGAGACCATGAGGGCTTAGGGTATTTAATTTATATATCTATTTTGACTCAGCTCTTATGAGTGCTCTTTTATGTTTAGCAACATTCCCGATTTTGGATATCAGTTCAATACCCATAACTGAGAGCTCGAGGGAATTTCTATTATGTATAGATGAAAAATGTTGTGCCACCGATAATTTCTTGTCTTTATGCAAAATGGCATATCTATTTTCCCTAAACCTGACTTTCAAAGACCTTGTAGTTTGGCCAACGTATTGTAAGCCTCATTTGCAGATAAGGAGGTAGACTACAAAAGAAGAATTACAAGTAATCCTATCATTAATGGGAAATGAATCTCCTCTCATTACAGGCCCATACTGGGTGGTTTTATGGCACATATAAGTGCATGTGAGACACCTCAGACTCCCACATCAGAAATTCCCTGCCAGATGATCTTTCTTGGAATGGATAGTATCCTTAGTGTTATATTTGGAAAGAACCAAGATGTTCTTCAGATTTTTGCTTTTCTTAAAGTGACCCTCGGTTTGTCAGGCCAAATTTAAGCCAAGGATCTAGCTTCAGATGGACCAGTGTTTATGTAGGAAACGCACAGTTGAACACAGTAGAGAAGATCAGACACTTATTCTGCGACACGTCATTAGTACTGATATTGTATCTATGGGAAGGAATTGTCATGCTCAACTTAACTTCCTTCAACATATATACAATCTCAATGTGTTTAGATGACTCCTGTTTAGGCTCATGAACTATCAAAGAACCCTCTGCTGGATCTGGTAGGGTGGATGGGATTAACCGGGATCTCTCCATATTCCTGGCTTTAATGAAAAACAATAAATTTAGGAGGATACCCTTTCTCCAAAAAGCATAAGCTTAGGGTATAAGCCTCTTCTTCAAAATCATTAAACAGTTTCTATGTAGTCTTGTGAACTGGCCCAAAGGTACATTGGAGATCCAATGTATAAGTTGAACTGCAATAGTTTTTTTGCCCCATTTTGTTATTTGGCTCTGTGCAGCTTCCATACCTGGCGAGTATAGCAAGTGCATGCCATTAATTGTGGACACGTGAACACACTCGGCATGAAACCACAGTGGACCACCAGTATACCATTTCGTCATCAAGCGAGGCCTTGTTCCGCATGGCAGATGCATGGAAAATACGTCACAGCGTTCCAAGGTGAAACGCACGCCAAACTCATGTGGACCGGAACTACTACAATCAAACCTCCTATATATTGAGTCTTCCAGTTACGGTCACACATCCCTGAAGAAGTCCGCCATAGAAGACAAAACGCGTTGGATTACTAGGTCTTTTTTTTACTTGTTTTATATTGTTTTGTTTTATTTTTCCACTTCTGTGTTTCACAAAAAGAAAAAATATTTAATCAGATATTGTATATGACTGCCAATATAGGGAGAGAACGTGAAGCCCTCATGGAGGCCATTGGGTGCCACAGTGTCCAGTTTATAAATCCAGAAGCACTCTCTTTTTTTGAGGCCTAAATCAAGGTCACCCCCCCTCCTACCTAAACATACTATTTCTATGCCTGAAAATGTCATACCCCTTGGAGAGTCTCTGTGGTATGCTCACATATGTCTCTTATTGCCTGTTTGGTGCCTGCACTGACCTTTGCAACCGTGTCTGACTATTCTTCTGGATTTGCCCTTGTTTGTTTCCTCGTACCTGGTTTCTGTTCCTGCCTAAGTCCCCGTGCACAGATTCACAGCCCAGGTAGCTTCTTATCTGGTTACCGTGGGCTGTGTTTATTTGCACGGGTGAGCAAACATCTCTGCACTTTGGACTCCAACTAAGGTAAACAGTGACATAATGAACAGACCTACATGGAGTCCACAGAGATTTGCAAGATGCTTACCCAGTAAGTGTCCATCCTGGCCCAGACTGTTTCGGAGATGCAGCGAGAAGTTCAGTTTCTTCAAGGTACAGTACACCCAGCCCCGGAACCTGCATATTCTAAGATGTTTGTGTTCATGACAGAGATTTGACAGTAGCCGTGCATCCTTCCAGGGCCTTACGGTGGATTGTGACATTTTATTTGCCTTAAAGCCTCGGACATATACCAGTGGCTTTATCATGGTCCATGCTGCTATCAACCCACTGTCTGGATGGATCAAGACATGGTCACACCATACGTTGCTGGCTAAGAGTCCTGTCCTTAACAGCTGGGGGTCCTTTATGACTGCAATGGACCCCCAGCAGTGCACGACTTCTAGAAAATCTACTGCTCCAAGGTCTGCTCCATGTTCCAGAGGATCCAAGATTACCTGAGACAGGGAAACCCAGTACCAACACCACACCTCCTTGTTGCCTCCTAATACACCGATTCATAAAAAACTCCAGAGGTATCCGATGTTCCTCTTGACACCGAAGAACCTATGGAGATACGTCTCGTCAAGACCAAACTGACTCCTGATGAAAGAGACCGCAGGAGAGGCCATGGTCTCTGCTTTTACTGCGGAAAAAGAGGGCACTTTATCTCTCAGTGCACTACATGCCCACCTAGGCCTCAGGCTCTCTGTTTGGGTACTGTTCAGATCTACATGGTCAGCAATGCACTTCTGTCTGAAAATTGCCAGCACTGTTGTCATACCTGTTCATGTTTATCTATGGCCAAAGGTACTCAGACTACGGTAATTGATGTTGCCAATGTCCTTCAGGAGCCTGTTACTGAGACCTCTGTGATACCTCTACCTCATGCTCCAGAAACGGCTGCACCGCCTCCTGAAAATACTCCTGTTCTAGCTAGTACCAACACGACTTCCAGCCTGCTAAAAGAAGGTATATCGCCAGATTGTACCTATGCCTCAAATGGTACTGTAGTCTGCAAAAAGGATTTACAAATGTTCGAGAAGGCACTGCGTGCCACAAACTCCACTCATGCTGAAGAACCTGTTCACGCCTAGAGGGCATTTCTGAAGAGGGGGTACTGTCATGGTTCTCCCCGTGTCATCCAGACGGCTAGGCGTGGCCACCCCATAAGTGTCCAACAGGGGATTTGAACCTGGGGCCTTTTGCATCCTAAGCCTGCCTCTGAGCCACTTCTGAACTTTGGATCTAGACATATTTATCTGGCATTGCCTGCAGCACTATGGGGCTGGACTTCACCAGTGGCTCCCACCTGTCTGTCAATCTAAGTCCACCTGAGACAGATGGACATTATCCACCTATATAACACTGCTTCTCCCTTAGGGCAGAGTCAGTTCGTTGTTTCATGATGTATGTTCCTGTTGCTTAAAGAGTGACTTGGCTTGTGACCCCTGTTCTGGATCTTCGTTTTTGCCTGTTCGCTGCCTGACCTGACCTTTGGAACCGTGTCTGACTATTCTTCTGGATTTGCCCTTGTATGTTTCCTCATACCCAGTTTCTGTTCCGGCCTAAGCCCCCGTGCACAGATTCAGAGCCCAGGTAGCATCTTATCTGGTTACCATGGGCTGTGTTTATTTGCAAGGGTGAGCAAACCTCTCTGCACTTCGGACTCCAACTAGGGTAAGCTGTGACAAAGGGGATGTATGTGTGGTTAAAGTGTTTGTGAAGGGCAGCTGCCTATGTACAGTGGGGAATTACGCATTCCCCAACTGATAAGTGGCTCTGAACTCACTAACAGTAAGAGGGAAGTCCTGAGCATTCTCTATGTGAACATTGAATGTGGGTAAATGTGAAGGATGCTGTAATGGAGTCTAGTGGGAAATAGTTGGTATAGTTCTGTAATTATGAAGGTTTTAGAGATATATGTAGAGTAGATGATGGGGAAGACCTTTGCAAATCCTTTTAGTATAAACAAATGCATGAAGAAGAAATTACTCTGCTTTCTATTAGATAATAGTGGACCCGAGTAAATGCGATGTGGCACGTCAAACACAGGGTTCAGGATGGGAGGTAGCTTTGAGCTTCTTTACAGTTATTAGTCAAGTACAGAAGGGTCTATAGTCTTAAAAACATGCTGACTGATGGAATAAGGAAATTAGTACATGTGTAATATCAAGCTCGCAAAATTAGTCATATTAATCTTACTGCTGGCTAAAGGCATAAAAGTCCATTTGTTAGGTCACCACCACCCCTTGCCACTCCCCCTCCCCCAGGATTAGTCTCACACGTTATTTTTTTTGCTAGTTCACACATTTTGTAGAGAAAATAAAGAACTTGCATCATAATTATTTTAATGAATATATTTAATAACATTTTTAATCAATTCTTAGTCTCTTCTATTGGCATAAGCCATAGGGAGTCTGGAATAGGTTCTGGCCCATTCACTTTTTACATTTATTTTTCTTCAATACATTTTTGCAATTTATGTTTCCAGACAGACTTTTGCATTCTGAATATTAATCTGAAATGATATGAAACTGAAATCCTCTTAATAAATCCTCTTAAATATGTCTTGATCATTTGTGGAGAAATATGTGAAAAACACATCTGTTCATAAATAGTCATTTTACTAGACGTTTTATAATATGTACGCATATTATTCAGCAGCAGATTCAAACTGAATTTGTTTATTCAGTTTGCAAATTTGCAAAATAACAGCTTTTTAATAAATTAGTGAGTTTGATGTTCTAATAATACAGCTTGACTATTATATTAATAGCAATGTTTCTGTTTATTTCCATTGTGGAGCTTAGTAATAACTGTTTATGAAGAAAGAATAACTTATTGGGTAAATTAGTGTAACTAATCTCATTACTAGTACTAGTCCGATACTGAGACTTCAAACCAGCAAACAAGATAAAGCATTTGTTGTGCCATGTCTTAGTTATTTTATAACCCTAATGCAATCCTCTTACGAATCACAGGACTGCATAAACAGAGCAAAGTCTGAAAAAAAAAAAAAAAAAAAAGGATTGCGTTTTGGGACCAAAGGCCAAAATCAGAGCCTGACACAGAGGTAGCAAGTGCACTTTCTTTATAACAAGCAACAGAGGAAACTCGATTAGAACAAGTTTTCCTCAGAAGAGCCACCATTAAGATGGGTCACATAATATCTGTATTTGTCAGGGAGCTGCCTGCTTGGTATATATTTGGTGGGATATTCCTACCAGTTGCAATACTTCTCCTTGGCATCATGCGATATTTATGGATACAGCTTGAAGAAGGTAGGTTTATTGGTCACAAATTGCACCATGACTGCCGTTTCAAGGGATATTTTCCACAACTGCCATGCTAATAGTCTTGTAATCACAAAACTGGCTTTGCATCATGGTAGATACTCCAAAAGATGGTAATGATTGTTTAGGTACCAAAATAAGATAATATCCTTTTATTACGTTAGTTGTTATAATATATTCGTATTTCATTGGTCTTTTCCTGGAATTATTTATGATTATGTAAAAATAATGTTACCGAAAAACTATATTTAAAGAAAACAAAAATATTATAACTAATCTTAATATGTATGATGTTAAAATGATAAATTAATCTAAAATTTCACCTCACCTGCATATGTGTGAAATTATGCTGATTGCTGATGATATTGCTGATCTTTTAGTTAATTATGCAAATTATACTATGTATTTCATATACATTTTATGTAAACTTTCAACTGCACCTGTGTGTTAATTATGCTGTGACATTCGAAGTAAAACACAAATGTATTATGTTGTGAAATTTAGTATAGATTATATCATATTTGTGGGTGTTTTGTTTGGTGTTTGTTTCTGTTTTGTATTTGGTTAATAGATTTTTCCCATACAGTAATTATGATTAAGGCATCTTTAAATAGAATTAACACTGGAGTTAGATTCTCTACAATTGCAATTACATTACTGGTTTTATAAATTTGTCACAATTTAAATTACCATTGTTTATATGAAAGAGTTCTGAAAAGATTTAATCTGCATCTGTTTAGAAAACCTGCAGGGTCATTCATTGAACGGGAAAAGTTTAGGAATTTACTTGGAAGTTTGATGGAAGGCTTCGACGATTGTTCTCATTCTGTTATTTTGGCCTATCATTTAAAATTTCTGGTCACTTCCTAGAGACTTTGGATTATGTGATTATTGTTGCAGGGGTAATATGACACTACTTAGTGTTAGGCTAACGTAATTCACTAAATTCAGAATTGTAGTGAATTGAAATCCTAATGTCAATATTTAGGTTTGGATATCCATGCTGAAGGGCAAAGGAATAGGACTAGACACATAAAGATGGTTCCGGCAGATTTATTAGAGTCCATTCAACTTTATGGCATTAAAAATAGTATTTCTTGAGCTTTGCTCTGCTGGTCAATTGGGCTTGTTTTTGGCATTGACAAGCGGCATCCTGATGCTATTTACAGTAAGTGCATCCTATTCCTTTATATAAGATATCCAAGCTTTGACTGTAACTAAGTGGGAGGCTTTTTCCATATCATATTATTAAACCTTCCTTATACTAATATGGGAGTCATAATTCCCCCATATGCTTATCCTTTTATTTTATTTTTATTTTTTTAAATGACAACTGGCTCACTAAAGCTGGTTAGCTGCAACATGTTTACGCAACCAAGGGAATTTTTATTAATATTTGTCTGTTGGCTACTAGTGCTTCCAGTGGGCAAATAGTGGGATTTTTTTAAATTGGGGGGGAGGGGGAGGTTGGGAAGGGGAATATAACCATTTTGGTTCATCCAAATGTTTCCTAAAATAATTGTCTGGATGAAATCTCTATGTATATATGTGACTTTATGTATATGTATGAGTCAATAATTTCTAGTATTGCTAAGTGAATAAAAAGTAGGCATGCACATGGAGAACTATTTTTCTGGTCATTAGCTCAGACACATTTTTTTAATTTTTTTTTACTGATTTTAATTCACATGCATATTGTTTTAGGCTGAAAGTTATTTAACATTTTAACTAATTTTGTTCAATAATTAATATCTGTTGCATAGGACTTAAGTCAGGCAGGATTAATAAAAAAAAAAATAAACCAGTACAATAAATGAATAAAATAAATAAAGCAAACAATTAAATGTAATATTGTATTTTATTTATTTTTTCTTGTACAAAAAGGCTAATGGGTGGTTATAGCTAAATAGCTATGCAACTTGCATATGTAATAATATGCGTATGCACTGCAATTGCCTGCACACTTTGCAATCCGTTCAATGCACAGTGCAAATACACAGCCAGTTTAAAATAAGAGATGAAAGTGAGCTAAGAAGGGACAGAGGTGGCAGACTGGTAGATGGGCAGTCACTTTTTTGTTTTTCTACATTCTTTATTTTTATTGTGCTTAAATGTGTTAAGGACAAATTAACATTAGTATAAGTAAAAGAAAACAACATTAGCAAGTAACACATCCCGAAGGAGGCAACCGCCTCGACTATTAGCCCATTTTATGAGTCCTAGTAAAGAGGGACCCCTCTTATTTTCAAATTATACCGCCTCTTCTTCTATAGCATCCACTTTATCATTGGTGGCATATTGTTGTTTTTGTAGGCCCTCATGTTTTTGTTCTATGGAGGTTATCCTGGTATCATGGATGCTTGTAATTGCCTTCAGTAGGTTGATCCGAGTAGTAGTGCCCTCCATGGTGTCTTTGATGTAGGCCATGTCAGGTGCAATATTTGTTCTAAGCTCAGCCAGCATCTGTATCAGCTGCTCCGCCATGACCGGATCGCCATCAGAGGGTTTCCTGATGAGTGGGCCCCTTGGCAGGCTATGGGATCATCCTGCTCCCAGATCAAAGAGGTTATCCTCTGAGGAGCATGATGATTCTTCCTCCTACAGCCCCATCTTGACCCAGGGCATGCGCTGCAAGCTTCACAGGAGTTCTCCTATATCGCGGGTCGTTGGGCCCTTGTGACACCCTAAATTTCTTATTTTTTCACCCCATGGACACTTCCCACAGTGGGGAAGGGGTCTATTAGTCCGGTGTGATCCTAATTACTCCACCAAAGCCTCAATTTCTCAGCCATTAGACTCAAAGCTCTCCGTTAAACTGCAAACTCGACCCCAGGCAGTCACTTTAATATCAGGATCCAGTAAACCAACAAAACACTACTGTGCTTTACAGGAAGAATCATTGCAGTGGAACACTACATCCAACAACCCCTAAAGGGACAGCGAAAGATGAATCAGAGGCAAATAAAGAAAGGTGGAAGACTGACAGAAAGGAGTCGCTTTTTATTAGGTCCCTGCAACAGTGCTAATCAAATGCTGCAGTAACTAGAATCCACTGGGCCAATGATGTGTAACTAGAATCCACTGGGTGGCCCCTCCTCAATGGTGTCTTATTCACTCCCTCCAAACCCCCCCATCCCCACCCCCCCGGTGTCTCATTTCTCCCTGTCATTTTATGTGTATGGCCGTCCAGTAAATGTACTCCATTACTCAAGATCTTAGGATTTCCAATTGATCCACTTGCCAGTGGAGATAAGCTTGCTGTTCTTTTTTATATGTAAGTGCAACCTTGAATTAAATATCTGTTCTTTGAGGATTAGTCTTTTGGAAGACGCTAGCCATCTCAAGACACCCCCGAGGGGAGATAGGCACATATCATTTATCATCTTGTAAGTTCTCTACCTCCTGGAGCAATCGTCTACTCAATATGTATTTCAACGTATTCAGTGGTTTTTTTACTTCTAGTTTATATATTATCTTCACACCCATCCTGATTCTCAGGTTGTATCCATCTTTTATATCCTTTGTGTATTTTACAACCCCCTACTTTATACTTCCCCATGGGGTGTATAATTTTTGTGTTGGTTCATTCCCCTCAGTGTCTCTTTCCCATGCTCAGCCCCCCCCCCCCATGTGTCTCATTCCCTCGACCCTATAGCCCCTCTATGTGTCTCATTTCCTCGCCCCCACCATGTGTCCCATTCCCTCTCACCTAAGCCCCTCCAGGTTTCCCATGCACTCCTCCCTCCAAGCCCCCTCCATGTGTCCAATTTCTCCCTCTGCCCCTCCCTGTGTCCCATTTCTACCTCCCTCCCCCCTCCCTTCTATGTGTCCCATTCTTTGCTCTCTCCCTCTCCCATCCATGTGTCCCATACCCTCCCTCTCTCCCCCTCCCCTCCATATGTCCCATACCCTCTCTCACTCTTTATCTCCCTTCAATGTGTCCCATACCCTCTCTCACTCCCTTCCATGTGTCCCATATCCTCTCTCACTCCTTTCCATGTGTCCCATATCCTCTCCACCCCCCCTCCCTTCCATGTGTCCCATTGTTCCCTCTCTCCTGCTCCCTTCCATGTGTCCCATTGTTCCCTCTAACCTCCCTCCACTCCAGGTGTCCTTTACCTCCCCCCCCCACCCTCCCTATGTCCCATTTTTCTACCTCTCTCCCCCTTCCACTCTTTTGTCCCATTCCTACCTCTGCCTCCCCTCCAGTACCAGCATTTCTCTGCCACGGCTTCCGGTCTGACAGAAAGTGCTCTCTGTCTGCTCGGCCAGGCTACATAAAGGCAAGAGGGGAGCAGCACAGCACAGCTCTCCCCTCCTGACAGCCGGCATCAGGACCTTCCTTTGTATATCACAAACATTCTGTATACATGCAGCATATTAATTATGTATACATGCAGGATATATATTCTATATACATGCATGTGATTTTCCTCTGTACTACATTAGGGAGGATCTGTGTTCACTAGATGGCTTTCCTATTTTGGTATCCTTAAAGATGGAAATCTCACATTTAGAACATGTGTCGCATATAGTTACAAAACATTATTCAACCCCCATTAAAAATCTGCTTTATTGTCAAAATGTATAGACATTCAGCTGTTTGCAATGAACAAATCAAACAAAAGCAAACAGTTCAATACAACAAATGCTTCAAGTGGTTTCCACAAATTCAACTGAAAATGCAACTTATAATGACTTCTCCAGTCTCAAAATTATCCAACTCCTTCATGACAAACATACTTAGTAGAGCACCCGTTTGCTGTTATGACCTGCTGAAAACGAGATGCATAGCCAGACACCAGATTCTCGCAGCTTTCCAATGGCCTCCAGTTCAGTAATATTCTTGGATTTGTGTGCTGCAACCACCTTCTTCAAATCCACCAGAGATCTTCTATGGGATTAAAGTCAGGTGACTGCGATGGCCACTATAGAATTGTCCAGGACTTCTTCTGCAACCAAACCTTGGTAGACTGTTTGCTTGGGATAATTGTCTTGTGGGAAGTTCCCAAGCTTTGCCCAAGCTTCAGTTTGCCCAAGCTTCAGTTTCCTCACAGAAGGCATGATGTTTTCTCCTAGGATTTCCTGATACTTCAATGAATTCATCTGGCCTTCCACACACAGAATCCCCAAACATCTGTAGCTTGGAGTTCTGGCATGGAAACGTTTTGTGTTCAGTATTTGCCTTTCTGTGCTCACTGAAACCTCAATGCCTGTTTCCACCAAGACTTACTGCAATTATTTTGCAGTCAGTTTATATATACACAAAATTACATAAATAATTTCTTAAATATACATTTAGTCCAGAGAATTTAATTTGCTAGCACTGTATTTAACCTTGTAACTTTCAATGACACCCTAAAACCTGTACATAGGGGGTACTGTTTTACTCGGGAGACTTCACTGAACACAAATTAGTGTTTCAAAACAGTAAAATATATCACAGCGATGATATTGTCAGTGAAAGTAAAGTTTTTTGCATTTTTCACACACAAACGGCACTTTCACTGATATAATTGTTTCGATACGTTTTACTGGTTTAAAACACTAATATTTGTGTTCAGCAAAGTCTCCTGAGTATAACAGCACCCCATCCAAATATAAGTGTCACTTTTTTATATTGAAAATTGCCAGGTTGTATGTCTCTTTCACCCCATCCCTTCTGCATGTCTCTTGCCCACAAAACCCTTTTGTGTATCTTCTTCCACTTCACCAGTGCCTCTGTGTGACTCTTTCATCCCCTATCCCCATTGTATCTCTTCCTCCCTAAACTCCATTGTGTGTCTCACCCCCTACCCATTTGTGTGTCTCACCCCCTATGCATTTGTGTGTCTCACCCCCTACCCATCTGTGTCTCACCCTCCCCTCCACACTTCTGTGTGTCTCTGCCTCCACACTCTGTGTGTCATTTTCCCCACGGTCCCTATGTGTGTTTCTTGTTCCCCTTCTCCAGCCCATCTGTGTGTCTTTCTCCACCAAGTCCCTTTTGTGTCTCCCCCAAGCCCCTTTTGTGTCTCCTCCCAAGCCCCTTTTGTGTCTCCCCCCATGTCCCTCTATGTGCCACCCCAAGCCCCTCTGTGTGCCCCCCCAAGCCCCTCTGTGTGTCTTTCCCACTTGCAGCCCCGTTCACCGTTCCTCCTTGTAGTGTGCCCCCCTGTACCACAATATAGGATCTTGTGTATCCTCTACCTGATCTAACAGGAAGCTGCTCATTGCTTCCAGGGAGCATTTTTCTGTCAGACCCGGTAGAGGATACAGAAGATCCACTACTGTCACCGTTTACCAGGAGTTGGAGCCCAGGTGCAGGAGATGACTCCAGGAGAAGGCAAAGACCAAAGCACAGTACAGATGAAGGGGTAATCCAAAGGCAGGGTCAGACGAGAAGCAGAAGTCAGGGCTGGCAGCGTAGTATTGTTGTCAGTAAGGCTGGCAGAGGTCAGAGTCCAGAAAATCAGTCAGCAGAGTAACAGATCCGACAGGAAAAACCAAACAAACAAAACAACCAGATACCAGGCCTCAGGCAGAGCTGGCTTTACAGCCTGCTGATTAGGAGCAGCTGACCCTAGTAGGTAAGGGGCTGCAGGTGGATCAGCACTGCTCCATTCAGGCAAGGAGTCAGGAAGCAGACAAATACAGGTACATACTGAAGCCCCCTAGTGGACAGCAAGGTAGAGAACCTGACTTTGATGCAGAAAATCAATAACAAAGGAAGCAAGTTATTTTTTAGGTATTTTCTTCAGTCGGATAATAAAGAGCACATCAAAGTCACCTTTTCTTTTTATCTCTGGTAAGTATTGCTGATTCGAATAACTCAAGGTCTTCTTTACTGATGATAGAGCCAATGTAAGTTCTTGTCAGATCGGGGGACAGTTTGGAATTGGTAGCCTTACAGTAGACACTTTTAGCCTTTTTCTGTAGGATTGGTTCATTTGACTTATTTACAAGACCAGCTATGATAGTGAGTGGCTCTGAAGATTTTGGTGCATTACAATCCCTGGACTGTCCATTGTAAAGGGAATCCAGTTTAGGCTCAGACAGGGACTCGGGGTCTGTGTAGGCCTCTGAATCATCAGGATTCGAGAGTGTTGGAACTTTTTGCAGGTTGTCCGCATTCTTGGAAATGGCAGTGGAGGCAAGGAGCAGCAACCATCTGAGGGGATGCGGCTCTGGCCTTAAGAGCCTGTTCAAAGACCTCTAGATCTTCTTCGTGGACCACAGTTCCATTGGAGGCAATTACATAGTCTGGGGACAGGAAACCTTAGGGGAACCAGAGGCTGAGGATTGGAAGGTAGCCACAGCAGCATCATTTTGAGGCTCTGGAACAGGAGCAGGGTTAGCTGGGACCACGATGGTGCCATTGGTCTGGTTAGGTGGTCTTTTTTGTCCGGACGCATGAAGAGTAGAACAATAAAGGTGCCATGGAGGACTTGTTGGATGGTGACAGTCCCCACATGGCCATGCTTAGGGCGAGGAGGACGTACAGGACAATAGCTGATGTAGTGGCCTATCTTGACACAATAGAAGCAAAGGCCTTTGGCTATCCTTCTGGCCTTTTCATTTACCATGAGCATGGTATTCAGTGTTCCAATTTGCATGGGTTCCTCTATGTCCATGTTGGGGATAGGGGTATAGGTCTCACCTACAGGTTTGGAACATTGATCGGGCAGAAAATTGGTTTCAAATTGCTCCTGCTTTCTTTCTCTGAACCGGCGGCCTACCTGGGTGACAACATATCTTCCAAAGAAGTATTTACCCCAATTCTGGCTAGTTCATCTTTTAATGCCTCAGATAGACCCAGTCAGTACTGTTCTATCAGGCCGGTTTCATTATAACAGGTGCCAGAAGCCAATTCCCGATCGTGCTGCCCCTGCAGCAGTGATCGCTCTGACAGAAAAGTTTTAAGAAAGTTTAGGAAAGTTTAAAAAAAATTAATAAGCAAATAAATTATGTAAAAAATTTTTTAAAAAATTTAAAAAATACATTAAAAAATGCTCATTACCACTACACCTGGAACAAACTATAGAAAAATTTATCCCACGCTAAGGTTCAAAATACACCTTTTGAATTACCCCAGCGTGTAATCTTTAATAAATAGTATGTGTTTGTGGGGAAGTTTCAATAACCAACCATCTAAACTACTCCAAAATTGAACATGGACACAGCGTAAAACTTCAAAGTTAGAAAAAAACTGAAAGGCTATATCTCAAATGTGCCCCTTATACCTCCACATATAGACATAGCTGAGCAACATATGTAGTCAGTGGTGTATCCTGGTTTTGTGCTGCCCTAGGCAGGACAAAACTCAGGTGCCACCCCCACCCAACCCTTCCTCCCTGCCCCGCCTTCTAAATACACACACACATTCACTCACAGACACACACTCACTTACAGACATACACACACACTCACTTACAGACATACACACACACAGTCAGACACACACACTAGCTAACAGACACACACTAAAAGACACACACACACTAACAGACACACACACGCTAACAGACACACACACACACACTAACAGACACACACTAACAGACACACACACACACTAGCAGACAGACACACACTCACTAACAGACACACACACACACACTTTTTTTATTTAACCCCCCCCCCAGCCTCCTTACCTTTAGGAATGCTGAGGGGGGTTCTCCCTCTCCATGGGGCTGCCGGTCGGGCGGGCGGCGCTGGCGAGGGAGCACTTTCCCCTGAGCGCTCTGCTCAGCTCCGTCATATTGCGGCTCCCAGCATCTCTTTGCGGCTTGCGAGGGAGCTGAGCAGACAGCTCAGGGGAAAGTGCACCCTCGCCGGCCAGCCGCCAGCTCCGACCGATTGACCGACCAGCAGCCCACCTGGCTTCACAGTTAGCCACCAGGCTAACAAGACATTTGCCCTGGGCATTTGGGGCAGCTTTTTTTGTAGCCCCCTGGAAAATGCCGCCCAAGGCAAATGCCTTGTTTGCCTCGCGGCTAAAGCATCCCTGTATGTAGTATTATACAGTCGTAGCACACATAAGGTTTGCAAAATATACTGTGCAAACTCACTTTGTGTGTCAAGGCAGAAAAAAACGCTTATTACCACTACACTTGGTACAAGCTAGCGGAAAAATCATCCCACGCCAAGGTTCAAAATATGCCTTTTGAAATACCCTGGGATGTCTTCTTTAAGAAATGGTATGACTTTATGGGGTATTTGGATTATATAGCCTGGTAAAATACTCTAAAATGGGGCATGAGCACAGTGTAAAAATTGAAAGTTTGAAAAAAAACTGGAATGACTGTCTCAAATGTGCCCCTTCCATGTCCACATATACCTGGCAAAGGTACTTATGAGGTTATTGCTGAACTCAGACGACATAGCTGAGAAACATATGAAGTATTATACAGTCATAGCACACATACGATTTGCAAAATATACTGTGCAAACTCACTTTGTGGGTCAAAAAGGCAGAAAAAACGCTTATTACCACTACACTTGGTACAAGCTAGCGGAAACATTATCCCACGCTAAGGTTCAAAATATGGCTTTTGAAATACCCTGGGATGTCTTCTTTAAGAAATGGTATGCCTTTATGGTGTAGTTGTAATATGTAGCCTGCTCAAGTGCTCCAAAGTGGGACACGGACGCATTAAAACCCTCCATGAAAAATCACACTTAAAAACCTGAACTTCTCACGTCTCTTTTAAAACACTGTAACTTCACAAAATAGTGTCTAGGTCATACATTGGGCATATTGTTTTACTCAGAAGGTGTAACTAAGTATAATTTGGAGATTTTTATGACAGTGGTACATATTAAGTGTATGAAATACTCGGCAAAAATGGCATCCCCCCCCCCCCTCACCACAAACATTGACATAAATTGGTGAAAAAGTGGTGACAAGTTAAGGCACAATATACACCATATAAGATTCGCCAGATTGGTTACGTTGCCTTTGAGACTGTATGGTAGCTCAGGAATGAGAATTACCCCCATGATGGCATACCATTTGCAAAGTAGACAACCCAAGGTATTGCAAATGTGGTATATGTCTAGTCTTTGTTAGTAGCCACTTAGTCAGAAACACTGGCCAAAGTTAGTGTTAATATAGCCACTGGCCAAAGTTAGTGTTAAAATATTGTTTGTATGTGAAAAATTTAAAAAACGAATTTGAACACCAATTCTGGCCAGTGTTTGTGACTAAGTGGCTACTAAAAAAGACTGGACATACCCCATTTGCAATACCTTGGGTTGTCTACTTTTGCAAATGGTATGTCATCATGGGGGGGATTTTCATTCCTGGGCTACCATACGGTCCCAAAGGCAACGTAACCAATCTGGCGAATTTCAATGTGAAAAAACTGAAACGCAAGCCTTATATTTGACTCTGTAACTTTTGAAAACACCATAAAACCTGTACATGAGTATACTCAGGAGACTTCGCTGAACACAAATATTAGTGTTTCAAAACAGTAAAACGTATCACAACAATTATATCTTCAGTGTAAGTGCCAATTCCCCTAGTGTCCGACTGACAGGAAGGTAGTGTAAATGAGGTTAGGGAGAGAGAAGAGGCACAGGATCCCCAGAAAACAAGGGACCGGGTAATCCGGTCTAAACGCAGATGAAAAGCCTCACAAAAAAAATAAATAAATAAATCTCTCAATTCACCCTAAAAGTTACCTCAACACCGTGGTCTAACCACTAGTGTCTACCTGAACCAACTCTCCCTACTAAAGTTATAAATAAATAAACACCTAAAAATCAATAACCATAGTGGTAACAAAAATAAAAAAGTGCTACCAAGTGCAGAGGTTAAAGAAAAAGGAAACGCTCGACACGCGTTTCGGCATGTTCAAAACGTCGTCGTCAGGAGCCTGCGAACATGAGCAGCTTGTTGTTCCATTTAAATACCTAATGCTGATTAAACATGCCATCAGCTGTTCAATGTGGGAGGTCCTGAGGGGCGGAGTAGCTAAACTCTATTCTGCAGTCTACCAGGGGTGTAGATATAGATTTCGTTCTACATGTATTTTGATATCAATATATATATTAATTTTAAAATACAGTTAGAACGAATTTACACATATATTTTTTTTAACCTTATTTACTTATATATATATATATATATATATATAATCAATATCATTGTACGTGTATTTTGATATTAATATATATTTACAATTATATATATATATATATTAATATTATAATACACTTAAACAGTGTATGTGTATGTATATATGTGTGTACGTGTGTATGTATATATATATATATATATATATATACACACATACACACACTTAGATCATATATATAATAAATACATATATGATCTAAGTATATATTTTAAACTGTAACTTTTTTTTTACTATTTACAGGTAGCAGGGGGAGTACCTGTAATTACAGGCACTGCCCCTGCTGGCATTGCTGTGGCCGGCTATGCCGTCCATGTGATCGTGAGGTCCTCGCGATCACATGGCCCAGGGAGGCCGGAGAGGTAGGAGGGGGACTCCCTGGGCTCCCAGGAGAGTCCCCACACCGCGATCGCTAGCGTGGGATCGCTGGCGACCAGGTAAGTACACAGGATGGCATGGGCGTTCTATGCCGCCCACCAGCGTTTAGAGCCGGGTCCCCAAGGACATCATAGAACGCCCACCGTCCTTAACCCCTTAAGTCCTAAGGTTTGTGAGGCAAAGCCTCTATGCATCAGATTTGTTGTTCCAGCACATCAGATATATGCTCAATCAAACTGAGCTCTGGCCAAGCCAACACCTTGAACATGTTTGCCATGTTTCTTAAGCTATTCCTGAACAATTTTTTGCTGTGTGGCAGGTGCATGATCCTGCTAAAAAAAAAGGAAACACCATTGTCCAGCCAGATTTACGACTGAGAGAAGATATTAATAAATACATTATCTGATAATTGAAGTCTGGCATAGTCTGCTGTATTGTAGGGAAAAAAACTGTTTGTATATTCTTCCCAATGCTCACTTGTGAAAAGTCATACCTGGAGACAAGAGGGCTGCATTATATCCCTGGCAGAAATGCATTCTGCCCAGAAAGGTCATAATGTTTATGTTATATGTATAATGAAGCAATTTAGGGCTTTCCATCTTTATACCGCGAACAGTTTTTAGACTACAGCTTACATTATTTTAGGTCAGAAATTTGTTGCAGACAATTGTGAGTTATGGTCCAAGAACAGCTAATTATGTTGTTCATTTAGAAAAACTTTGCATTATACTGATTCAATAAACGTATTTGCAGCTGCTACTAAACTAGAATTCCAATGATTTTAGAGACAAGAAATGAAGTGTATTGCGGTCTTTGCATAGTATAAGTTCACAAATGCTAAAATATTATTAAGTTCACAAATGCTAAATATCCATTTTGTTTGACGTCAAGCTTGAACTTGAATGGCAGCAAACGTCAGCATTTTATTTAAAGATGTCCAACTATAGACAGTAATCCATAGTTGTAATCAAGCCCTCGTGTGCTAAATCAAGTCACTAATTATATTGTCATGGTTACAAGGTACTTCGGAGAAGAGCTATCATTATAAGTTAACCCAAGTACTGAGAGAGCCTGATTTAACTCCATAAAACTGCTGAATAAACATGCACGTTGCCCTCTTTATTCAGCAAACATTAGTGTCCTACGTGTAAGTATCTGTTCCTTATAGAAGCGCAAAAAAATTGTTACTTATTTTTCTCTCATTTCTGTGACTGATGCAAGGTAAATGTACACTCCAAGTACCATAGCCACTACAATATGCTGGTGCCTTCCAATATAAATAGTCAACCCATTTGCTAACATTTTGACTTTTTCTGGGATCTGCCTGGGGTTAGTCAATGCTTTTCTGACAGCCATACACTCTGTTTTAAGTTAAGCCCAGTGTTACAGGGTGTTAAGACCTGCAGTGGCTATGGTGCTGCGGTCTTGAGTTCCCTCTCCCAACAGCTGAGCATGAGTGATTATAGCTGCAGCAGGGAATAGAGGAATAAGATAGATGAAATGCAGTTCCAAGGTGATTCTTCCCAGCAAGTTGAATATCCCCCAAACATGAGCCTAGACTTCATGAAGGGTGTAACAGGAATAACTTTTATTGACAACACACAGGCTTTTATGAGAAATCCTCCTGCAAGAGGACCTCCCACCGCAAACAAAGACAATAACCAATCAACACACAGATTTACAGTAATACACGCCTCCTCTCTGCCTGGGAGATATTGAGATAAGTTAAGGAATAAACCAATTATCTCCAGGCAGAGAGCACACAATTTCCCCAAAACTTAGAACACCCCTTTCCCCACAAGGTATCCCCACAAATTACATATCCCCTGATAGCCCCGATCTGGGGGACAAACATATCCAAATTTCACCCAGATCGGTTCAGGGGTTCTGAAAAAGTGTGGAGGGTCCCTTTTACCGACCACACACGCAGCTCCTGCCCAAAACAATTCCATGAATTCAGCGTGTGCGCTCGGTCAATTCACAAAACTGTAAAAAACGAACAAAAGTCCCAAATGGATCCCCCTGGCCCATAGTAGCGATTGCTCCCCTTGTCCGTTCGCACAGAACTACCGAATGAGGCTTTCCTGGCTGTTCGGGAAATATGAGAAGCGGGCGTTCGGTAGTTTCCAGCGGTAGTTCGTAAGGTCGAGTGTCCGATTTTAGTTCCAGAAACTCGACGACCAAATCCCACTGGCTCTCCTCGTGCGAACAAGATGGCCGCAGTTTTCTTTTCCATGTGGCATTCGTTTATACGAACAGCGGCCGCCCAGGGAGCACTTAATAGCTGGTTCCTTTGAAGTAAATGAGCCAGGAGGGTGGTCGGCGTTCGGTAGTTTCAAACTACCGAACCAATCCATTCATTATACAAGAAATAACACATAAAAATACTGAATAAAAAGGAGAAAATTACAGGTAAAAGTCAATTTTCTTCACACAGGGCTTAGCTCATGGACTGAGACTGATCAGCAAACCCTCTCATGCACTGAGCTGCCCTGCATGGTATGGTTTAGCTGAGGTGAGCCAATGGAAGCTCCATGTAGGAGACTCTGGTACTCCATAGATGCAGTGACTGGCACTAGCAGACTCCTGGTAAAAGGGTTAGCAAACAGTTTGACTACTTACATTGGCACCATAACTACAGGACTGCATTTTCACTTTAAAATAACAATGCATTCATGTAATGTTTATTTTTGTAGTTATCTGCTACTTTAACCCCTTCAGGACTGGACTGTTTTGACCATGTTGTATGTTAAGGACCAGAGCTGTTTTAACACTTTTGTGGTGTTTGTGTTTAGCTGTAATTTTCCTCTCATTTACTGTTCCCATACAAGTTATATATTGTTTTTTTCAGGCAAAAAAGGACAAAAGGGGCTTTATTTACATACCATTATTTGTATCATGTCATATAATTTACTTTAAAAAAAATAAAAGATGGTGAAAAATTTTAAAAAACATGTTTTTTTTTACTTTTACTTGAAAAATCTTTTACTTATCTACAAAAACTTTATTTAAAAAAACTGCTAAATAGATTCAAAATTTTGTCCTGAGTTTAAAAACACCCAGTGTTTACATGCTTTTTTTTTTGTTGCAAGTTATAGGGCTATAAATACAAGTAGGAAATTGCTGTTTCAAAATATATATTTTTAAATTTTATCAATGGTAACATTGTAACACTGTTATCTGTCATAAATCTCTGAATCACACCTCACATTTACATATTTTTTTAAAGTAGACAACCCAGGGTATTCAATATGGGTTACGTCCAGTCTTTTTTAGACGCTACTTAGTCACAAACACTGGCCAAAGATAGCATTTATATCTGTTTGTGTATTAAAAATGTAAAAAAACTATTATGAACGCTAACTTTGGTCAGTGTTTTTGACTAAGTGGCTGCTAAAAAAGACTGAACATACCCCATTTGCAATACCTATATCCGACCCTGTAACTTTTTAAAAACACTATAAAACCTGTACATAGGGAGTACTGTTATACTCGGGAGACTTCACGGAATACAAATATTAGTGTTTCAAAACTGTTAAACGTACAAAAGGTACCAAGGGGCATGAACCCTAAATATATGAAACAGAACTGAAACCTAAAGTGGGGTGGAAAACCACTCACATATAGTACCTTTAAACGTAAAAATTCGTACGAGTGGTATAAACCTTTAATAAAGTCGAATATTAAAATATGAAAAACCTAACTAAAAAAGTAGGTTATATGTACAAACCAAACACAAGTGACAATAGTGAGCAAACAAGTGAAAGTACACCTTAAAAATCTGTGTATAATAAATTATTTTAGAAATAGATATTGCTTTTTGGATGTTGGATGTGTCATTATTATTCATTCTTTTCCAAAAACTTTTCTCTATATACAGTTCTTGGTCACAGTGTGTATTACCTTTTATCTTAATATTTGTGTATCGATTCCTTTTTGCTTCATAGTGTTCTTAAATACAATTCCTTGTATTGTACATTGTTTTGTATTACTTGTAGTGTTTCGTGTGTTAGTGTCTTAGTGTGAGGTATATCAATTTTATAAAATCTAAAAATGTATTTTTCCCCTTTTTAATTAACCTAATCTTCCTATTTTCTTTCTTCAATTTCTGTTCTCTTTCTTTCTCTTACTCCTTTTATCTCTCCTCTAGTGTTCCGTGTGTATCTATGAATATGCCGTACCCGCAAAAACCCAAATTGCCATTTCAATCAACCATCAACTTTTCAGATTGTGTATTTAAATCTCTTTAACCTTCTATCCCTTGCCCTCCCCATCCCCCTTCCTGCCTCTTTCCTGTGCCAAACAGAATATCATTTAAACTGAAAAAAACTTTTTAAAAAAAGTCATCTTCCTCTTCTTTCTTGTCATCTCCTTGCTCTGTCTTCTTCTTAGTATATGGATATACATTCATATTCCGTGTTTCTTAATGCCCATTCACATTCTCCTTCCTCTCACTTTCATTCTCTTGATTATTGGCCATCGACTTCTGGGATCAGGTGTCTCTCTTGTAGCCAATCTTTCAGCTTTTCTGGGGAGTAAATTGCATATGTTCTTTTTTTCCTTTTTTTTTATTTTTTTTAAATTCTTTATTTTTGTAGTGCATAGGTTAGTTAACAAGCTTACAGTGACGTTCTGATATGAAAAAGTACAATTAGATTGAAAGCAAGATCTTCATAAAATGTCAGATAGAGCTTTTTTTGTTTGTTTGTTTAATTGCATATGTTCTTAAATCTTTATAATGCCAGAGTCTTACATGGAATCCCCATCTGTATTGAATTTTGTTAGCTCTTAAAATTTCTGTATATTTTTCGTAGGATCTTTTGGTTCTTGTATATATCGATAAATCTAAGTAAACGATTATTTTTTCATAAGCAGCATGAATTTTTCCTTCTCTGAATGAGTTTGTTATGACTAGTTTCATTTGAAAGGACGAACAGATCATGTCGTCTCTGGGGATATTTGTATACAGATGTTTAGGTTTGAGTATCCTATGCAATGGTTCCATTAAAGGGCCATGTGTCTCATTTTTTATATTTAAACTGGCAAACAATTTGTTTCAAAAAAGGTTTTTCTGTGGTAACTTCTTTTAAGTTCCTTACTTTTAAGTTGCTGCAGTGTGACCTGTCTTCAAAGTCTGCGTGTTTTTGTTCCAATTTTGCTTTTTAATTGATCAATATCATTCTGGTTTTGTGTCGATACTTGTTCCATATGTTTAATATTTTCAGAATTTTCAATTACTTTGCCATTGATGTTAAATAAATCCTTTTAAAACTCTTCTGAAAAGCATTGAATTTCGTTTTTGATCTTTAGAATTTGTATTTCCAGAGCACTGTTAAGCAGATATCCAGTCACCCTTTGGAGCTCAGTTACTGTCTCAACTCTTTCTGCTCTCTCTTGTTCCCCACTCTTCGTTGTTTCATCCAAAGAGTTGCTTTGAACCCCTGTTTTCTGAGGTTGAGGTGAAAAAAGATAAACGTTTCTCCAATGGTTCATTTTTGTTCTCCATTTTCTTGAGTTTTTCTAGCTGCCATTTTGTAGCATTGAATTTGAAATGAGGAGAAAACAAAAAGTCTGTTTGCTATGTCTCCTGCAAATCTCCAAGCCTAAAGCAGCCTAAAGACGTACTCCTTCTTCCACCTCTTAGCTCCATTTGTTAATTTCCTATTGATATTTCCCCCACTCCCACCCTTTTTTTTCTTTCTTTTCCTTTTTCTCTTCTTTTTGTCCTCCTTTCTTACCATTTTTATATATTTTTTCCTTCACTCTCACTGCTTTTCTCACCTTACTCAAAAAAGTTAAGGTTTAATGTAGCTAACTACCAATCAAGGGAGCAAAGGGGACCGAGGTTTGAGAGGAGAGAAATGAAAAACAAAAAATAGGCACTGTTTAATATTGACAAACAAAAATGCAAAATTACAGTTTTATTCTGTGTATATATATATATATATATATATATATATATATACACACACACACAGACAGAATAAAATTTTTATTTCAATTTTCTTTTCTTTCGGGGAGCATACAGCTCACTCACATGTCCTTAGTGTAAGGCAGGGGACCCCTTTCTCGAGATCGAGTCTGCTGGTTGTGTAAAGCTATTTCCACCACGCAGGGCTCAGCGTTCTCCACAGCACTAGTTCCTTATTGCCAACATAAACAGACAGTTCTCCACCTTATACTGTCGGCGTCTGTCTCATTTTCCTGTTGTTTTGTACAAGACTCCCAGGTCTTCCAGCCCTCGAGGATGCTCTTCAACCCTGCAGAAGCATTTCAGGGTTCTTACCAAGAGAAGTCTTCTTTAGAAAAGTTTTTATCCCACTGCCATCCAACCTAGATCTAGGTTCAGTTAGCCACCTCAGAAGCCATGGCATTCTCCCTCCATCCGTCTTCGACTGGCTCCTAAACCCACAAGCGGCATGCTACATCATCGCTCCACCCCGATGATATAAAAAAAAAAAAGTTTAATTGCTCTTTAACAAGTTAAGGAACACATACTCATGTTAGAAAGGAATTAAGAGACCCGAGTGAAGTTATAGTTTCAATTATAGTATAGGAGAGTGCTAAGTAATCAAAACTGACACAATGCTGAAACGAACAGGGTTGTTTACTCAAGAGAGAATCACTGAGAATTCAAAGTGAATTTCAAATTTAAGGTCAAAACAGCTAAATAAAAAACAGAATTTAGTTGGAGAATGTTTCTTAGCTTACTATTTTGGCCTTAGTTTTGAAGACACTATATCTTATTTCTTTCCCAAAATGCCATACTTCTTAAAAAATGTATTCCATTTCCAAGTGATATTACTTCATCTATATCATACTTAATCCTGTCAGATTTGCCACATTTAATTCATCAATTGTCATAAATGTTTACATGAACTATTACAAATACTGGATACATGCTTGTCTAGATTTTATGTAATAAAAATGCTGACCTGGATACCATAAGTAATATTCTATATCCAACATACTGCACCCACTTCAGTGTAAGTGCCCGCTATTTTTGTGTGTGCATTGACAGTGAAAGTATGTGTTTCTTAGTTTGCAATATCAGTGTTTTTCTGTATGTGCAATGTCAGTGTAAGTATGGAGGGTGTAGTGTCAGTTCATAGTTACATAGGCTGAATAGAGACATGTGTCCAAGTTCAGTCTTCCTCACATTTGTTTTTTTGCTTTTGATCCAAAATTGAATGCCATTGATTTTGTATCAGTTTCTGAAGGCCAATGTTAGTGTACATGTATTTGTTTCTGTGTGTGCATGAATGTTTGTGTGCAGTAATAAGGCCTGGACTGGGTAATGGCCATGGGCAGTAGCTCCCGTAGGATCTATCTAACTGACTCCTGCAGTGCCCCTTGAGAAACATGTAAAACACATACTAATTGAGACAGGAGGGGGGAGATTGAACTGCTTTGTCTTACATATCAGAGTGTTGCTGTGGGTTACCATGGCAATGCTCTGATACTTTCCTTTGTGCCAGCTGGGAGTAGATGTTTGCAATTGTTGGATGTGCAGACAAAGTGCCCTTTCCACTGGACAACCAGGGTCCAAGGTAAGTGACAGGGAGGGGACAATAAATGTTTGAGATTTTTAAAAGCCCCTGCCCCTACACATTACATCCTATATGCCCAAAATATGACAGCCCTTATCCCCTACACACACTACAGCCCATGTCTCCCCTAGCACTTCAGCCTCTATGGCCCTCACCACAGGTTGTCTACCCCACACATGCAACACCACAAGTAGGCTCTCCACACAAACACACAACACCCCAAGTAGTCTACCCACACACAATATCAGGAGCACCCTACCACACACATGCAGCATCAGGTAGGGTAAACTTCTTGGGGGCTTGTGTCTGTGAATATTTTTTTGTAGTGTAAAACACATACATTGCAATAGCACATGTAAAACACATACAAAACCACCGGCAGCCTTCTCATACACACACTCTCCCAAACCTGTCCCTCTTTTGTCTTCTGGTATTCCACTATGGGGACAGCAGAGTCACGTGTCTGTGCATGCAGTGTCGCATGCATTTGGGTGTGTAGTGTGAATGTATTGTGTAAATAAAGTGTTTGTAATATAAGTCTGTATCCCTTGTTTGCCTTATTCCTATTACATAAAATAACCAGACCAGGTGTTTGGCAGATCATATCTGAAGATGTGTACCTGGGGAAAGAAATGTGTAAGCATTCCTGTAGGGAGTTTGGACATTGCCTGTAGCTTATGCCATTTTTTTGATTTTGAGTTTGAAGTATGTATTTTTTATTTAATTTTTTTTTGAAGAATTTACAGTGTTTCTAGATTTTCAGATATGGGATAACATTTCTATGAGTTTTTTATTTTGTTTAAGTGTTAGTTTTATTTTAAAGGAGATTAATTTATTAAGAAGCATTAGTGAATGTAAACTGTTCTGATGTAATAGCAAATCATTTTATCGTGTTCACACATCAGTCAGCATACTGCTTTCTTTATTAAGGGAAACCGTATTCACCCTAAGCATGTTAGTGACTATTACTTAGAATGTAGTCTCATAATTGTCCAGTGAGCATTGCTAAGAATTCAGTCTGAACAAAGGAGCAATGTTAAATTCTTGCAAACACAAATGATTTTACAAATCAATTAATACATGTCTCTTTCATATTCAGTTAACGAACAGTTGGCACATACGCGTGACCCCAAGGAAGCCCTGCAGGATTACTACCTCCTGTACAAGCAGCTAAAGACCTCTAAATGGCAGCACTCCAGGAAAACGTAAATTTAGTTCACATCAAGCAAAGAGCAAGGACAGGAGAACATTATATAATGTTGCTAGCAAGTGAACTCACATGGGAATAGCAAAAAAATCAAGAAGCGCTGCTTGCAGCATCAGGAATAAAAAAGGTGCTGCCAATTAGGATGTATTTCTGGAAAAAGCTGTGTCCACCTAAGACTTTAAAGCCAGAGCTGTCGTGAATGCATCACTGATGGATTTTCTCAAGGTTACTGGCAGAGCCTTTGGATCTGCCGCTCTATTATTTATGCTTCATCTGACCAAACATCCATATTGTTACCTAATAATAAAAAAGCTGTAACCTTTCCCTTTTTCAACTCAGAAATGAATATATTTTATGTAATGAAACATTACAAACTTGTTTTCGATTTTATATTTTTAAAGGGACACTGGAGGCTTGAGTTGACCCATTTTTAATGCATTAAAAATATATACAAAATAATAATAAAACAGATAATCACATTTGACGTTTATTTGCTGCACAACCTCAGGCCTTGCAGATTCTTCTGTGAATCCTGACCAGGAATTCATAACATTATGCACAACAGTACTTTTTGCAGCATATGTAGAATCACTGCAGGCTGTGCGGAAGGGGCAGAAAGGGTATTGCTGGTGGCACAAAAGTCATTAAAAAAAAGAAAAATAAACATTAATGAAAGAAAATACAAATTTTGTAAAAGCCTAAATGTAGACCAGATGGGAAAACTAGATTTAAATTGCTTTCCACTGTAAACATTGTTAATAAATCATATTTATGGCCTCTTTATCGGTTTAGTGATGCCAATTACTAGTGAGACCAATCTAATGCATAACAGTTAGCAAGTACCAGCACCCCCATGGTTTAATTATGTGATTGTTAAGGCATAATGCACTGATAATACTGCAGACAGCCAATCAATACTCATAACTTACATTTGTTGTTTTTCATCCCCTTCTTCCTTGAAATCCTTACAGGAAGACATTTCAGAACAGGCAAATAAATAAATTAAAGGACCACTATAGGCAACCAGACCACTTCAGCTTAATTAAGTGGTTTGGGTGCCTGGTCCAGCTTGGTTTAACCCTTTTTTCTATAAACTGCTATGTTTATATTAGGGTTAATCCAGCCTCTAGTGGCTGTCTCACTGACAGACGCTAGAGGCGCTTGCATGCTTCTCACTGTGAAAATCACAGTGAGAAGACGCCAGCGTCCATAGGAAAGCATTGTGAATGCTTTCCTATGAGACTGGCTGAATGCGCGCGCGGCTCTTGCCGTGCATGAGCATTCAGCCGAGGAAGAGGAGGAGGAGAGCTCCCCGTCCGGCGCTGGAGAAAGAAGTAAGAAAGAAGTAAGTTTAACCCCTTCCACCCCCTAGAGCCAGGTGGGAGGGGAACCCTGAGGGTGGGGGCACCCTCAGGGCACTATAGTGCCAGGAAAACAAGTATGTTTTCCTGGCACTATAGTGGTCCTTAAAAGGTTATTACTGTACATGTGTGTGGGTGTTTTTAATACATCAGTAAGGCGATAAAAAAGAGGTGAAAAAACATGCCGACAGCAAAGTCAAGTTATTTTATTAATACATGAACACACTCTCAGACAGCCAAAAGAAAAATCAACCATGTGTTATGTCGGAAAGCAGTAAGACATAACTATAATTAGTTATTTATATAGCACCAACATATTCCACTGTGCTGTTCAATAGGTAAACAAGACAAACACTGGAACAGTACGTCGAGCCGTGGAGAGGTGGCCGCTCTTCCCATCCCTACTTTTCCTTTGAAGCCTTGCTAACTCCCTAACTACGAATTGAGTACCCCTGTAAGATATTATTTCTTTGGGGATATCATGTAAGTGAAACACTTCTTTGGCAAAGATTTTGAGAGATGAGGGTAATTTAGGCAAAGTAATAAAGTGAGCCATTTTAGTGAATCTGTCTACAACAGTCAAGATTACAGTCTTTTTGTCTGACATATGTAGTTCAATAATAAAGTCTATTGTTATACTAACCCATGGTTTGTTTGGTATTTCTAATGGTTGAAGCAGACCACATGGGAGCGTATTAGGTAATTTGGTTTTAGCGCAAGTCTCACAAGCCATAACATAATCTCTGGTATCTTTACTTATGGAAGGCCACCAGAATTCATTAGCTATAAGAGAATAAGTCTTATGAATGCAACTTTACTGTCATGGAATCAGGTAAGTATTTCCATTTGTAGGTCAGGAGGCACATAAGTTTTACCTTCAGGTGCTTGTTCCGGTGCTTGGGATTGTCTCTTCTCTATCTCAGAGATAAGAAGATATTGTATCTTGATCCGAGTATTAGCTATGATATAAAAGAATACAAAAGAAGTATATTTCGCTTTATATTACCAATACTTACCCTATATAGAGAGCACTATTGGCTGTCTTTTGTTGTTCCATAGACCTACCTCAACATTATCCTGATGTGCCTTACTACTACTCTACTGTGCACCTGTATCAGGAATATCCTGCAAGCAGGGATTAAAAACCACCTAGATTACCTAGAGCTGGTTATAGCTCTACCAAATGTAAGTTGACAACTGTTTTTAGTGTTGTTTGTCCTTTTTTCTACAACATAACTGCACTATTGTTTCGCTTTTGTTTTATGCCTTTTTACATATACGGCATATACGGCTGTCAAGTGAAGTTGTCCAATAAGGACTAGAAGACTTGTTGTTACCTTTAAGACTGTGCCTTTACCAATATGGTATTTCCTTTACATTTTTATCTGGACATTTTATTGTGGACTTTTTCCTGCATTTTATTTTTTTTTATTTGGGGTGTTTTTTTTTATTCTTGGCGCTACCTGTATTCTGTGTCTACTTATTAGCTATGATATGTTGTTTAGGAATAACAAAGGACACTTCTTTTTCTGGGCAGTTTTTTGACCCAGGTCTGTACATCAACATGTAATTGAACCAAGTTAAGAAAACAGATCAAAGAACTTGTTTAGCTGATAGTCGTTTAGCTTCTCCTATATAAGATAATTGTTTGTGATCTATTAAGATGATTATAGGATGCAAAGTCCTTCCAACAGGTGTTTCCATTCTTTCAAAGCCAATATGATTGCAAGCAAGTCCATGTCTCCTATGTCCTATCTTTTTTCAGTGTTAGACAACTTTTTAGACTAGAATCCACAGGATACACTATTGCTCCTGTACCTGTCTCAGAGGCATCTACCCTTTAGTAGAAATGGTAAGTTAGTGTCAGGATGAACCAATATGGGAGCCGATGCAAATGATTCCTTTAGGGTTTCGAAAGCATCAGATGTCCACATTTTGGAATTAGCACCTTTTTTAGTCACACTGGTGATAGGCGCTACTATAGACAAAAACCTCTTTATAATACGTCTATAGTAGTTGGAAAAACCTATGAATCTTTGTATCACTTTAAGCCCATTGGGTAAAGGCCACTTGAGTATGGTTTCTAACTCTGTAGGGTCAACAGCAAAACCATTTCCCGATATGATATATCTGAGAAAACAAATTTGCGACTGATCAAAAAGACATTTCTCCAAATTACATAAAAAGCCGTTTTGTAGAAGTCTGTTTAGAACCTTTTTCATCTGTTAATGATGTGTTTCTTTGTTCTTGTCATAAATCAAGCTATCATCATTAATCAGATCTTGGAAGACAGCCGGAGGGTTACATTGCCCAAAAGTCATCACAGTGTACTCATAGTGGCCATTTTGGGTATTGAAGGTTTATTCATCCCCTTTGCAAATTTTGATCAAATTATATGCCCCTCTCAGATCTAATTTGGTGAACACTGTGGAACCATTTAATCTGTCCAAAAACTCTGTTATCAAAGATATCGAATAAGCATTTCTTACATTGATCTTATGCAATCCTCAATAATCTATGCAAGGTCTAAGATCTCCTTTTTTAGAGACAAAGAAAAATCCTGCCCCAGCTAAAGAAGACAACCTTCAAATGAAATCTTTTTTAAAATTTTCCTTTATGTATTCCTGTAATACTATGTTTCTCCCCTTAAATTCACTTGAGAAAGCCCTAAGGGGAGAAAAGTGTTGTGGTTTTTTAATTGCTGTATTTTATTAAAAGTATTTTGACCATATAGACCTCTTACAAAATAGTACTTGGTACCTGTTGGGATATACTGCACCATTATTTGCTGTCTTTTTATTTTTTCATACGGATATCACGAATATCCCATGCCCATACCTTACTGAGGAATACTATACCTGACAAGATTGTGATTGACTTCTTATACAATGTTTTATTTTGACTTTTTGCTGTATTTATCAGGCATAGACTTTTTTGGACTTACTTTTTGGATTCTTGATTATTATTCATTATCCATATTTAGAACTCTTTTTGTTATTTTATCTTGTATGTATTTTCTCTTACATAGTGTCTTGTATATGTGCTTGTATAGTTTTTGATCAGGTTTTTTTTCACCTGTGGCGCCGCCTCCCCCTTCACCTGTTTTTTTGTTTTTTTTGTTTAAACAATGGAACCTATCGAACAGAAGTCCTTTGGGGTCTATGTCTGGTATACGTTCATTAATACGTGATATGAACATGATTAGTTCTTCTAAGTTTTCCAGAAGGTTTCTGGTGGCTACCTCATCCATAATAGCATCAGAAAGACCCTTAAGGAAAACATTCATAAAGGCCTGATTGTTCCTTTTGACTTCTGCTGCTAAAGACTCAAATTCTAGGGCGTATTCTGCCAGGGTTCTGTTTCCTTGTTTAAGACAAAGGAGAGATGTGGCTGCATTGGCCTTCCTATATTAAGGATCAAATGTTCTACTAAATGCGGCAACAAAAGCAGCATATCTATAGACCAGCGGGTTGTCATTCTCTCATAAGGGATTAGCCTAGGTTAGTGCTTTGTCTACGAGCAACGTTTAAGAAAGTATCAGTATCAGTTGTATAAGCACAAGGTTGTAGTTCAAAATAAATGCTGATCTGTTTCAAAAAACCACTACACGCATCCAGTGCCCCACCATAATGCAATGGTGATGTGACATGAGATGAAGCACCAACAGTAGCCACTTCTAACCCTGTTGTTATGGGGGCAGCAGGAGGAGTTTGACCATCATCTTGCAGAGAGACAGTACTTCTCCTCAAACCCCCTTAGGGGTTTACACTTACAGGATACATTAATGCTCTGGTGTCAGGAAATACAACCCAAAAACTAAAGTAAAAAACATATTCCAGACCTTAGCCATGCTCCCAAAATGTTAGAAATTGAACATTTCAGCGAGCTGTGATGTCATCAACATCATGACATTGGAGCACACGTGCCATGTCATAAAAAGGGGTGGAGCTATGTCAGCCAGTGTCGGAACTACTGATGTTAGAGGGAGGACCTTGTGGATGGTCTCCATCCACATGGAAGAGGTCCCCAGGCTGTGTCCCAGCCTGGCAACTAAAAACAGGTATCCTGACACCAGCCGGCCTAGACCGAGAGTCACCAGATGCCTCACCTCTCTTCAGCGATCCTGAGTGCAGCGAAGCAGCCACCAAAAGCAACCACCTACTCTCAGGCCCGCATGCTACCTTCATAGGTAGAGGGGATTGGTGTTTGGGGGCCTTCATGTCCCGAGGGTGATGAAGTCAGCCCTTGAGTGGGTCTGGAGCAGTGCACAACATTAGAATCACTCTGTAGAAATGCATTCAGCATTATCTTGCACTTTCCACTCATCGAAGTTGGCTGATCCAGGCTTTATTTGCAAGAGTGGACGCCAAGTTCTCTAACCCACCTTATATGAGTACTTTATCTTCTACATGCCAGGAATTTTTCTCGTGTTATGCTTTTCATCTGTCCATGGACATGTAGGCCTAGTATATTTATTATGGTTTTCACTTTTTGGAAAAAAAATGTGCAGCTTAGCGTGAAATGTCAGGCCCTAGTTCTAAGTTTGTTTATACAGGTTTTATTTGAACCATTACCAATCAGTGTATGTACCTCTGCACTTCTAAAATAAAAAATGCCAAAAAAAAGATTTAATATTCTTTGTCTTTTGTACTTCTCGGAGTATATGTAAATAATAAAAAAAAAAAACCAATTCAAACAATAGTACTCTCTCAATAGTACAGATTTCATCAATGAGACTTCTGGGATGGCTAATGTGAATTCTGTGAATGAAAAGCATTCACTGTCAGCACAACAGTAACAGACTTCCACTGGAAGCATTCTCCCACCATACTACATAATGTTTGATGTGTTTTTGATAAACAGAGGTTTTCCTTTAGCATCCGAAACAAGTATGCCATAATGTACTGACATCACATTGAACTGTTTTGCTGCAATGACTTTGTCTGACTGTAACATCTACATGCTTTAGATACTCACTTCCAATTGTCCTCTCCATACTAATAACCTTAAAAGCTGAAACATGAAAACCACCTGCCTAATATTACAGTATCTCACAAAAGTGAGTACACCCCTCACATTTTTGTAAATATTTTATTATATATTTTCATGTGACAACACTGAAGAAATTACATTCTGCTACAATGTAAAGTAGTAAGTGTACAGCCTGTATAAGAGTGTAAATTAGCTGTCCCCTCAAAATAACTCAACACACAGTCATTAATGTCTAAACCAAAGTAACAAATAAAAAAGGCTGCGCCACATAAAATATTAAAAGAAAATAAAGTCCAAGTAATAAAAGGTCCAATTTGTATGTCCTTACGAGTAATCTTTATAGGAGGCTGGTACTGTGGTAGGGTCTTCAGATATAGTGGTTCCGCTTATATAGAAGATAAAAGAGAGGGACAACCAATAGTGCGATATGTATAGCTCAAATATGGACGTAATGAAAAAAACAATGGTAGAGGACTCACATTTACAAGAGCTTATATCCAGCTCTAGGGTAAAGCGCGTACAGCGGTATAATCCCCGCTTATAGGATATATGGTGGGTACCTCTCCGTCAGTGGTGTCCGGTTCTCAGGAAAGAAGAAACAGCCAATAGTGCTCACTGTATAGTAATGTTGGTATAAATTAAATAAAAACGTACTTACAAGTAAAGAGCAGGCGGACTTGCTCTGTGGTATCAGCATAAGTGGATTAATCCCCACCTAGGATTTCTTGGGATGCAGGAAGCTTCCAAATATTTTAAAACCAGAATGGATAAAAAATAAGATAATAAAAAGCCAGGGTAAAAATAAATAAAAAAAGGTATGTGTAAAAAAGATAATTGGCACAGCCAGATGACCAAATATACTTTTAATACAAAAATACACAATATAAAATTTCCATAACGCGTTTTCGTTATCTTATTTTTTTATCCATTCTGGTTTTAAAATATTTGGAAGCTTCCTGCATCCCAAGAAATCCTAGGTGGGGATTAATCCACTTATGCTGATACCACAGAGCAGCCCGCCTGCTCTTTACTTGTAAGTATGTTTTTATTTAATTTATACCAACATTACTATACAGTGAGCACTGTTGGCTGTTTCTTCTTTCCTGAGAACCGGACACCACTGACAGAGAGGTACCCATCATATATCCTATCAGCGGGGATCACACTGCTGTACGCGCTTTACCCTAGAGCTGGATATAAGCTCTTGTAAATGTGAGTCCTCTACCATTGTTTTTTTATTACGTCCATATTTGAGCTATACATATTGCACTATTGTGTGTCCCCCTCTTTTATCTTCTATATAAAGTGGAACCACTATATCTGAAGACCCTACCACAGTACCAGCCTCCTAAAAAGACTATTCATAAGGATATACAAATTGGACTTTTTACTACTTGGACTTTGTCTTCTTTTAATATTTTATGTGGCGCAGCCTTTCTTGTTACTTTTATCTTGTTTTAAAGGGTTTTTGAGGGATTCCCCTTTAAAGGTTGCTGCCTATAAGTTGACCAGCGCCGTCTCATCCATTTACCATTACTATAGATATATATATTTTTACACAAGTTAATCAGAGAACAAGCAGAATAAGCAATTCTGTGGCAAGATGCTCACTGATATCTAAGTTTACAACTAGCTGCACAGAAAATGACTTGTCTCCATGGATTGTTTAAAGGATCACTATAGTGCCAGGAAAACACTTGTTTTCCTGGCACTATAGTGCCCTGAGGGTGCCCCCACCCTCAGGGTCCCCCTCCCGCCCGGCTCTGGAAGGGGGAAAGGGGTTAAAACTTACCTTTTTCCAGCGCTGGGCGGGGAGCTCTCCTCCTCCGATCCTCCTCTTCTCCTCCCATGCGGCTGAATGCGCATGCGCGGCAAGAGCTGCGCGCGCATTCAGCCGGTCACATAGGAAAGCATTCATAATGCTTTCCTATGGACGCTGGCGTGCTCTCACTGTGAAAATCACATTGAGAAGCACGCAAGCGCCTCTAGTGGCTGTTAATGAGACAGCCACTAGAGGAAATAGGGAAAGGCTTAACCCATTCATAAACATAGCAGTTTCTCTGAAACTGCTATGTTTATAAAAAATGGTTAACCCTAGCTGGACCTGGCACCCAGACCACTTCATTAAGCTGAAGTGGTCTGGGTGCCTAGAGTGGTCCTTTAACAGATTATTACCTGTGAAGTCATGCCAACAATAAAACGGTTTTCTTCATATAACAATTATTAATGACTGAGAAATCGTTATTTGACTTACTGTTCCGGCTGTGTCGAGAATTTCAAGCATACATTGCTGCCCTTCTACTTCCACTTGCTGTAATGAAAAGGAATGGTCATTTTATGGGAATTAAGTACATGTCATTAATACTGTTCTCTGAAGCTCTAAATTAGATTTTGACAAAGCATCTGTAACAAAGTTGCCTTGATGAATGCATTAATACATTTCAAATGAAACACAAGACATCCAATGATCTAGTAAAACTCAAACTGAAACGCATGTAGGTGTCAGTCCAGACTTACCTTTCTGTAAGAGTCTTCTATTGTAGGATCATATTTTTCCACAAATATTCCCTGCACAAACTGTACTGTCTGGAGGGGAAAGGAAAACAATACTTAAGAAACCGCTATATTTACTGTAGAACAGAGTCTAGATTTACTAAATAGTGCAGTGTGAAAGGTGATCACATATACATGAACAAGTCTTACAAAAATAAAAGTTTTAACTGTATCTGCTGCAAATTCTATCCACATTACTATTTATTTATTTTTTTTAAAGTCTTAAACCAGGTGAAAAAAAAAAGGATAGCTGTAATCTGTTAAAATGGAATGTACTATTGGTGTATGGCAAATAAAGGGTTACCCTATTTCTTTGCCATACCTCTGTCAAAGAGGGCACAGCCACAAATACACACAGTCCCTCATTTAGAGTCAAACCAATCAAAAATCAATTCATCAAAACTGTGGGACAATGTCAAGTGACACCAAGCACCGCTAATTTAATTAGATGAAGCTGTTATGGTACCTAAAGTGTCATTTGAAGCACTGTACCAGCGGCTCTTGCATGCAGAAAGAACGTAATCAAAGTATCAATTCACTTAAATTATGTATGATTCAATAACAATGATGTGCAGCAAGATCTATTTTAATTACATAAAGGACCAATAAAGTAGGGATTGACCGATATAGATTTTTTGAGAGCAGATACCGATACTCTTAACTTTCTGGCCAATAACTTACTGATATTCTGTACATTTACCATTTTTTTTTTTTAAAATAAACTATTTCTAAAGGCAAATGCACAAAATATACATGCCACATTTAGTGAATGCAGTGTTTTTAGACAGGGGAGCTGTGTGTGTGTATATATAATATATAATATGTATATAATGAATGCAGAGTGCGTGTTTGTGTAGTGTGTGCGTGCGTGTGTGTGTATCTATAATGAATGCAGTGTGTGTGTATCTATAATGAATGCAGTGTGTGTGTATATAATGAATGCAGTGTGTGTTCTGTAGGTAATTTGTGTAAAATAGGGGAGAGAACGCCTTTTTGATTAAAAATTTTTTTTCTTTTTAATATTAATTTTTTTTTCCATCCCCTCTCCCTGCTTGTTACCTGGCCAGGGAGGGGGGATATAGCGTTCCCTGGTGGTCCGGTGGGGGCCCGCAGCAAGCGCTTACTTAACTTCCCAGCAGCTCCCCTGTGTACATATTGCGTCCTGTGTGCCGCGCAGTACTTTGCCATGGTAACTCGTGGCAACGCTCTGACAGCCGCGGGACTCGCAAGATTTACACTGGGGAGCTGCTGGGAAAGTAAACAAGCGCTTGCTGGGCCCCCCAGGACCGCAGGGCTTGTCATGGGCCCAACGGTCCTAATATGTATTATTGGCAATATCGGTATCGGCCTATAGAGATACCGATATTGCCGATAATACATACCAGGACCGCCGGGCTTGTCATGGAGGGCTTGCAGCAGCTCCCTTCAGCTCCCCTGTCTAAATCTCGCGAGTCACATGGCAACGCTCTGCACAGCATGCAGGCTCCCTTTTCTTTATAGCATAAGTAACTGGGTAGCAACAGCTGCCTAGATGCTAGTCTAATGACCAGGAACAGCCGCTGTCTACTCAACGTTTAGAAGATATACGCCATACCCGCATCATGGCTTAACTCTCCTTTATAAATTATATGCCATGTTTAGTTCAGGAGATAATAGGAAAAACTATTCCTTGATTGGTTTGAGAGAGAGAGTTGGAGAGCACACACAAAACCAAAACCAGTCTTATTTTGTAAACACCTGACTGCTACTCAGACAGTTACTCCATCAGTATATACTGCACAATGACTCGAGAGTTCAGAGGTCATTTGCATGCTGCTGGCAAACATTTGGTGTGCTTCACTTTGCAAAATGTTTGTCCAAACAAAAGCTAGGTGATAAGGCGCGGCAATGAGCTCATTTGTTGACCCTTCTCCATAGCAAAGGGAAAATTTTTTTCCTAAGTGACTCCTGCTGACAAGGTCAATATTGTGTGCTGCTGTTGCAGCAGCAGCTTATCACCAGGCTACCTAATTTGTTGTGAAGTAAAAAAGGTGGGGGTGGAGAGGGTCGATAAGAAGATTTTCACACCTGTTGAATGCTAATGTCACTATGCAAAAGGTGAGCTGTTTTATTTGCTATAAACATGTCTTTGCTCTGTAGCGCAATATCATTATTCAGAAAAGTTTGGAACCCCTTAAAGCCTTTCTTGCTCAGAATCACTGAGTCAGCCTTGGATGGCAGATATGGCAAGTATAGCGTGTTACACAACCACAAAAATGGATTTTGAATTACACAAACTGGGTTTATTCATTGAATTCTGAAATGTACTGAACTGAAAACCTGAACAGCAACATTTAGGCCAAACACTGTTCGGCTAGTAAGGTATGCATGCGTTTGTGGCTGTGAGTGGTGATTAGCTGTGCCTCTGTTTTGGAACTATAACTAAAGGAAATAGAAAAGCATTTTGTGACAGTAGATTGGCTGTTTTTTTGTTTTTGTTTTTTAACTTACCAAGGCAGATTTTCCAACACCTCCTGAACCAAGGACCACGAGCTTGTACTCGCGCATGATGGGTCTTTGATTGTTAAATACTTAACCAATCTGCAAAAGAAAAAAAAGCATGTGTTAAATAAAAATGCATTGCCCAACCTATTGATGCAATCAGCAGCTCTTTGGATGAGACCATTTCCAAGCAACCGCTTCAAATAGATTGTATACATGTTCCGCAGAACAACAGAGGGTACAATTAGGTAGTTGAGCACCAACTACAGTGTTTATGGAGCATGGAGTGTTCATCTATACAATTGCACAGTATATAGCCGAAATGTTATACTCTTTAAAGAGACATTAAATCAAGTTAGGCATAACAGGTGAACTTTAAAATGAAATCCTGGGGTGCGGCCTGAGTGGCATGGGGGCTGGACATGTCTCCCTTGAGCTCCAAGATTATATTCGATAATATCCTGATTAACAGACTGCCAGCACGCTCAAATTCTGAGACTTGCCTCATCTGGAAACCAACCAGAGCACCTTGTAGCAGTGCCAATGGTTGATTACTCAGCAACTGAGATCTGTGCGAGCCTAGCGTGAACATTAGTCGGGTTGAAGTGGCCGATTGCCTGTACCACGTGACGTTTTACCCTCCCAGAATACTGTGCAGCTCTTTTCCCTCCCCGCCTATCTTGACCAGTGGGGGTTATCCCGGTCCCCACTGGCATAATCTGTACCCTAACGGAAGTCTTTACTGCCTCTGATAAGCAAGTCTGGACCACAACTTACCTACTCCTGATCCAGAACGAAGCCCCTTTAGACAAGATGCCGCTTATAATCCTTGGTGCGTAGTCTCTTCAGTCAGAGGGAGCAACACCTGACTTAGTTCAGCAATGTTCTGCAGCAGCTGGAAGCCTTATTCAACAGATTCTGGGCCTCCATGGAAGCCCACAGTGTAGCTGCATCCTCTCAGCATAGAGAGGAGGTTCGGTTGAACAAGAGCGCTGGGGTGAGTGGGCATACCTCAGGTCTTCCCTACCTTCCAACAGTCTCCTTTACCATAAGCCCACCCAGACCGAGGGCCAACAGGGGCAAGTACCCAACTCATCACCTACATAGACGGGAGTCCGACCGCCATCAGCGGAGAAATACCATCAGGGCGTCCTGTCTCTCCCTCACTGGGAAGGACTTGGACTTTGCAAGTCACAAGGTCTGTGGCACTGAGATGCTGGTCTACACTTCGGCCTGGGGCTGGCGGGTTGCCTTGCACCGTACCTGTTTTACCGCAGCCTCGCACAACCTTGGTGCTCCCACCAGGGACATTCCAGAATTGGGCATTGGCTAGACTCACCGAACCGCCTAAGCAAGCCACTATCTGGGACTCTTCTGTCATTTGCTAAAGCCAGATTTGCCTTCATTAACAAGTTTGCTCAGTTGTTAACAAATTAGCTTAGTTTCGGATATGCCTATACCTCTGCATTGCTTTGAACTATCTTTGTCACTGGGTAATGCCTAGTACGTCAATCATTAACCAGTGGTACCTTATGTCTAGCATGTTACATTATCGTTTGGTTTTCATTTTTCTAATGTAGCGTTTTGCTCACCACTGACTATTTTCTTCTATAAATACATAACAATGTGCAGATTTCCTGAATGCAGAGTCAATGATTTAACTGTCTTCAATATGCTTGTGATCGCTGTTGTGACTTTTCAAGCTTTTTGTTATCCCATGCACAACATAAATAAAGAGTGACAAAATTTTTTAAATGGAATCTTGTCATCTAATCAGCTTGACGTGAAAATTATGCCTGCTCAAAGTGTGGTAAACAAGGGGATTACAAACTAAATGGACCTTAAAGGAACACTATAGTGTTTGGAATACAAACATGTATTCCTGGCTCTATAGTTGTAAAACCACTGTTTATGAGTCTGGCTCTCCTTGCCTGCACTTAAAAAGGTCATTTATGCATCGCTCTTCCTTTGCGATGATCAAAAATGGCGATCTCAGCCAATCCAATGCTTTCCCATAGTAAAGCATAGAAGGTGCTATTGAGCGGTAAAACACTGTACTGCTCCAATCAACATCTAATAGAGATGCATTGAATAATTGTTCATGGAGGCACTGTGCAGCACTGACTCAGGAAGCACCTCTAGTGGCTGTGGGAGTGACGGCCACTAGAAGTGTTCCTAGGCAGTAAAAACTGCCCTTTAAAATAAAAAATATAAAAAAGCCTACAGGGACAGGCTGTAGACACCAGAACATCTACATTAAGCTGTAGTTGTTCTGGTAACTGTAGTGTCCCTTTAAGAAATGTCGACTAAGTTGATGGAGCAAAACTTTGCAGAAAAATAAAATAAAATTCAGTTCTACACAATTCAAAGTTTCAGTGTGTGTATGTGGGTGGGAATCGTGGCTTTAAATATAGATATTCACACATGCACGTTAGCTGCAGCTAAATTCATCTTCATGAATATCTACAAGGTCACAAAGGACAGATGTGATAGAAAATATTTCAGCAGCTAAATTAAAACAGAGCAGTGTGCACTTTACTAGAAAACATTGAAAAACAAAATAGTACAAAATAGTAAATACATAAAGTGCAATTCTGGCGCAAAGTTCTAAAAGTGGACAAAATCAGCAAAGAAGTTCCATTGGATTCCATGGTTATTACTATTTTAGAACTCTGGTGATGCAATGTGTGAGAGCAGAGAAGAATTTGGACGTCACTGCTTAGAGCACACTCAATGTGTGTGGTCTTGCATTTCCTTAGCAATTAGGCTACTCCTGCTTGAGCAGACCACATGCAACGTTAGCGCCCAGTGCAAACAAAGTTGTCAAACTGTACTAAAACACTGTAGTAGTACTAAGAAGGCTGGCTCATACACAAAAGTATAATCAATGGTTAAAATCCCATGCTACTAGTCAGGCCTTAAAAGTTACTCTCCACTGTAAGCAAGAGCATATCCACAAGAGGGTGAATTACAACTCACCATGGCTTAATTTTCAATTGACATTGGGCAATGGAAATTTTGATCCTTGTATAATAAATGAGCTAGAACACAATCTGGAATCTTTCAGAGATCCTTCATTCAACAATTCAATTTAAGTGGAGAAGGCAACAGCTGTACTAGTAAGAGCATTCCTTTAAATACAGCAAATAAAGGACTTTCCCTTGACAAAAAAGATGCTTCACCAGTCGGTCTGTCAGCCTGGTGCATTGGTATTTTTTCCCCATATTTCATAAAAACTTGCCAGAAGAGGTTGATTGGATAAAGAGTTTATTAACCACCCGTAGTTCAACTCCTGACATACGCAAAGCAAATAGAGTTATAAGGGGATAGCAGTAATCATGTGGCTGCTATCAGTGTACATACAGGCCCATGCACAGTTGTCAGGCTTTGTACAGTAATTAGAGATGAAACTTGGCTTGGCTCTTTAAGAACAGGGCATTATCTATCCTACTTGCGCAGCTTTGTTGGCATGCCACATTCACAAATTGCATTAAAAAGTTACAGAGAACGAGGAAGTGAAAAGTTGTCAGAGCTAGGAAAGCTGGCTATAGCAATGTTGAAAGGGACACTAGTCACCAGAACAACTACAGCTTATTGCAATTGTTCTAGTGAGTAGATTAATTCCCCTCAAGCTTTTTGCTGTAAACACTGTCTTTTCAGAGAAAATGCAGTATTTACATTACAACCTAGTGATAACTCCACTGGCCACTCATTAGATGGCTATTAGAGGTCCTTCCTGGGGCAGTGCTGCCCAGTGAGCAGCACTGCCATTCAGTGTCTCCACCCTCTGCATGCAGACACTAAACTTTCCTTATAGAGATGCATTAATTCAATTCATCTCTAGGAGGAGGTGTTGATTGGCCAGAGCTGTGTTTGACTTGTGCTGGCTCTGCCCCTGATCTGCCTCCTTGACAATCTCAGCCAACCATTTAGGGAAGCATTGTGATTGGCTCAGACCACCACTTTTGATTATGTCAGCAGAAAGGGGCAGAGCCAGCAGCCGCAGACTTGAATACAAGTATGGTTTTACTAAATGAAGGGAGGCAAAGGAGGGGGGGGGGGGAGGTAACACTATAGGGTTAATTATTGTCTTATACTACTCCCAGTAAGCAGAGTTGGTATAGTGTACCTCATACAATTTTGAGTTGCACTTAAAGGGACCGTTCAATATTTTCTCTTCTTCTGAATCTATTGCCTGTTAAATATATTTTCGTTCAAAACAATTTGAATAGTCTGTTTATGGCTGTGAAAATAGGTACTCTTGTGAACCACAATTGCCACTATATGGGGTAAAATGCAGAGCACATTTAATAGTTTAGTGGCTACAATTTTGAATAATTTGTTGACCTTTTAAGGTGTTTCTTCGCAAATAGTTCTCACAGTGAGTCTTGTACAAGAAATAAAATTTCACAAAAAAACGCTTCCTTAAAATTCCAAGAACACATTCATACACTGACTAGCACAATACAGCCATATGTAATTTATTCATCCTCTTCTGTATTTATTTATTTTTAAGAGAAGTTCGTTTAAAATCCACATTTTATAATCATTTATAAAAGAAATAAAAAAAGAGACAAGAACACTCTTGCTGTAGGGAATAATAAAATGACTGACATTTGCTCACAAAGTGCATATGCAAGGTTGCCAAGTACAATTGAATTGTTGTTCCAAGCAATTCCTGCATGGTCCTGCTCCGCAGAATAATGCCTTTTTATGGCAATCTGTCTGACAACTTTCTCAGTAGCCGCAAAGATACTTATTCGCTCTTATATTTTCCCTGACAAATAAGGAGAATGAAACAGCCAGCAATAAACGTTCTCAACAAAATGTTTATTGTATCAACCAATCTTGACCAACCATGTTCACTCAAATAATTGTACAAGCATATTCAGTCAATTAATTTCAAGAACGAATAAAGTTTCAGCTATTACAAAATGGCACAATAAGGTGTAAATACAAACATGTAAAGAACATGTGCACTTACACATTATAGTTCAATTTAGAGCTCAATAAAACTTTTCGTATAACATTAGTTATTTGTTTTGATAAGAGGGCATGATTTGAAT